TTTTCAACAACTGGTAATGCTTTCCCATATAAATTCACATCTTTTACCAAGACTTGTCCTCTGCCTTTTGTAAAAAACAACTATTTTACTTTTATCAACAGAGAATGAAAATCTCCATTTACGACTATAGTTTTTTTTGCAAATTGTAACATATCTTGTAAACCAATACTTGTGTTACTGATCAAACATATGTCATCTGCTTGTGTGGGGATATTAACCCTGGTATCAATAACAAAAGCTCCTTTGCCTGGCGATTCGACATCATTTAGTAAATCTTTAATAAAAACCAGGTACATTTTTGCAGATAATGACCCCCCTTGTAAGATCCCTTTCTTCATGAGGACAGGTGATGACTGGTGACCCTTAAAGGCGACATGACTTACAAAACCGGTATACATATTTTTTAATATAGTCAAATTTTTGCCCTTAAATCCTATTTTGTACAGTTTGAGAAGTAACCCTTCGTGCCAAACAGTATCAAAAGCTTTCTTGCTATCTAAAAATGCAACAAAAGAATCAGAGTCATTTTCTAGGTTGTATCTCACACATTCCTGAAAATTAAAGGAAGTGCATAGACTACATAAATGTTTCATATAAGCCGACTGCTGTCTGTTTGGAAACGTTTCTGAATCTAGTAAAGAATCCATTCTAAGAGACAAAATTGACTCGAATATTTTTAAAAAGACGGGTATAAGAGTTATACCCCTATAACTGTTTGGGTCGTCTTTAGGTTTTCCATTGCCCTTGTACAAAGTCAAACATTTTCCTTTTTTCCAGTCTTCAGGTATATGCTCATATTTTACAATGAGGTTGAACAATTTGGTAATGAGGCTTCATAATCTATCACCTCCATACTTAATGTGTTCATAGACCAGGCTATCGTACCCACCAGCTTTTTCATTCTTATAGGCATAAATTGTATATTGAACGTAGCGTATAGGGTATGTCAGAGTGTGTTCACGCAAATGCCTGTGACTACTAATATTATGTGATCGTTGACCACAGTCGTTATAGTCTTTTTTCGTGGCTCACTGCGGTATGTTACCGTGGTAATTGGTGTTTCAATGTCTCCACTAGGATCTCACCCGGGACCTCTGTTGTATTATTCTGACACCGAATAAGTTAAAAGAAATTCCCCGAGCCAAAAAAAAAGTCAGTAGGAAGAAGGTGGTATTTTACCAGAGTGACAGGGGTCACATTTATACATTTGCAGATTAAATTTACCATCCACAAACTTCTGATGACACGATGCGTAACGCTAACACGCGTACGGTGCCTATTAATAATAGCGTTAATCTAAAGGGACTTGTTCCACACATTTCCGTATGTTCCTTCGCAACAGTAACCATCCTCGATATCCAGGGGTTACGCTCACTTTCGCTCTCTACACCCCTGATGAAATATGTCATAGCAAAATCGAAGGGCACGAAGACAGCTGTTTGACTGATCTGAGGTAAAACAAACTGACCAATCGCTAGGCTGATACCTGTCCTGTGAAGATTACAAAGGAGCGACGCCTGACTTCAAAGCCTGTCAGTTTTTACCGTTACGTGACCGCGAGATTCTTTCGATGTTTATCAAAGGATCGAACTAGTCTTCTTGTCTCATCAACAAGGTGGCGCACACTGAGCCTTTAATTTTGCTATGACATATTCCAGGTGTGTAGAGAGCGAAAGTGAGCGTAACCCCTGTATATCGAGGATGAACAGTAACATGATGGCGACGAAGTAACCACAGGGACCTGATCATTTGTAAGAGTTATATTTGGTAATTTTACACGTTGGAGGGGGCGGTGTTAGATTCATTTTCGGTAAAAATGCCACAAATCCCCCAAAAGGTGTAAAATTACTCTAAATACCTTAGTTTAAGTCCAAATATAGATGCCACAAATTCTCATGTCCCTGTGGAAGCGACCACTATCGTTCTGCCATCCATTTTAACAAAAGTTAAGCTACACCAGTTAGCCATATAAGGAGTGGTGTTCTGTTTTAAAGTATGTCATGCGTATTTTCCTGAAAAATTACGAGGGGGGGGGGGG